CCAGAAAGAGCCCCCACAACTCTGCCGCCATTATCGAACATAAGCCTATTTTCATTGTAAATCCCCCTAGCCACCTTCCGTGTTCGTCTCGTATAAGGCCGTCGACACAACCAAAGCCCGACAACCCATTATAAGAGCCATCGGAATTCACTTTTAGCAAAGTTCTTTCCCATCAAATCCATCGAGGAACTCGTAGTCGGCCCGTCCCCCGAGCTCTTTGGTTCCGCCTAGCATCTTCGTCAGTCCGTCAATATAGGTGTGAATTTCACGCACACACATTGCCACATCCCGAGCTCGCCTGAAGATTAACTCATTCTGCCACTTCCAAAGCTTCCACACTACAACCCCAAAAGTACGTTCCCAGCCTCATCCGCACAGCCAGTCAGGTGCACCAGGTTAAGACATAGCCACGGTTCCAGCGGCAACATGAAAAATTCTACAGGCAACTTACCTGGAAAAAACCGACGCCAAATTTTTGCTGCTAGTTGACAATCACAGACAACATGCAGCGTTGTCTCCTCGGTATGATCGCACTTCACGCATAGGGTAGAGTCCGTCAAGTTCCTTCGGCTACTCCCCGCATTAGTAAGGAGTCGATTTTTCGTAAGCAACCATAGAAAGATCCTTATACATTGAGGGCCCGGCGATTGCCATATCGCTCTCCACAAAGGTTGGGAACCCAAAGGACCGTCTCCACATGTCATACGCAGACTTGGTGGAGAATTTTCCAATGGAAGAGTATCCACAAAATAGGCGATCTCGATTTAATTTTATAGAAATATAATTTATTAAAATTAGTATCCCCAAGAAGGTTTGCAACGTCGGCATCGATAAAAATTAAAATTAGTATCCAATGATAAAGTCCTCAATGTATATATGTACTTTATTCGAGCTTTAGTTCAATGTACATTGTCACATTCACACGGTATCCAACCATGGGAATAGAACAAACACGTCCGTCCTCATCAAGTCGGAGAATGACTCAGTTAAGCAGTAAACAGCAACAAAATACGTATCAAGTCGTGCACGCACAAACAATGTTGTTCACCAAATGATTATCGTTATGGATAACGACAGTGGCTCGGTCAGCAGTTGAACTAACCAGCTCAGGCCACCTGAACCCGTGCCCCTCTGCACAACAAGTGGGACCGCAGCCATATTCACAATGGAAATACTCACCATTCAT